AACTGAGTCACACTTCTTCCTGTGGCTCYAAACAAGTCAACTGCCACCAGTTGCTCCTAGCAGCCATCTCATGACCATGAGGGGAACCCACAGCCTTAGGATGAAGTTGAGCAGAAAGACAGAAAGTACCCAAAGGGCCTGAAGACCTCACTGGGCCTCAGACCATCCAACCCTGAGACCTCTGCCTTCCTGTTAGACTTTGCATTTCGAAAGGTAATACATATTTCATTATTGAGGCCACTTTGAATCAAAGGATTTGTTAACTTGTAGCTAAAAATCTTCAGGCCAGGCCCAGTGACACAGGACTATAATCCCCGGTACTTGGGAGGCTGAGGCAGGAGGATCACAAGTTCAAGGCCAACCTGGGCAACTTAACAAGACCCTGTTTCACAAAAAGAAAAAGGGCTGGGGATATAGCTTAGTGGTAAAGTGCCCTTGGATTCAATCCCCAATACTGTAAAAAAAAAAAAAAATCTCAGAATTCAGTATGGGAACAGAAAGTCTTTCGAAGAAATAAAAAAAAATGGGGGAAAAAAAGGTAATCAGTTTAAGAACGAGGTTTTGAAAGATTAAATTATCTCTTTACAGATGACACAATCTATATAGAAAATCCTAAAGACCCCACCAAGAAACTTAGAATTAATGAATGCTTTCAGTAAAATCCTAGGATGCAAAATCAACATACAAAAAACAGTTACATTTCTATATACTAAACAATAAACTATCTGAAAAAGTAAGAAAATACTCCCATTCCCAATAGAATCAAAAAGAATAAAATAGGAAAAAATTTAGCCAACAAGGTAAAATATCTGTACAATGAAAACTATAATACATTGATGAAGACATTGTAGAAGACACAAATAAGTGGAAATAATAATAATAACCTGTGTACACGAATTGGAAGAATTAATATTGTTAAAAATGCCCTTATTATCCAGAGTAATCTAAGGTTCAGTGCTATCCTTATCAAAATTTCAATGATATTTTTCACAGAACAAAAAAAAAATCCTAAAATTWATATGAAGCCACAAAAGACCCCAAATAGCTAAAGCAATCTAGAGAAGGAAGAACAACGCTGGAGGCATCACACCTCCTGATTTCAAATTATATTACAAAGCTACAGTAATCAAAGAGTATGACACTTGTATAAAATACAAACATAGACCAATGGAACACAACAGAAAGTCACAGAAGTGAAACCCCCCACATACAGTCAACTGAGTTTCAATAAAGGCATCAGGAATACACAGTGAGGGGGCTGGGGATGTGGCTCAAGCGGTGGCGCGCTCGCCTGGCATGCGTGYGGCCCGGGTTCGATCCTCAGCACCACATACAAACAAAGATGTTGTGTCCGCTGATAACTAAAAAATAAATATTAAAATTCTCTCTCTATCTCTCTCTCTCTCTCCTCACTCTCTCTTAAAAAAAAAAAAAGAATACACAGTGAGGAAAGGATAGAGTCTTCAATAAAGGGGAAAACTGGGTATTCACATGCAAGAAATGAAATTGAACCCTTAACTTACACCCCTTGCACTACACCCAGAAATCAGCTCAAAGGGGTGTAAAGGCTCTTTTAATGTTTTTATTTGCTTTAATTAGTTATACATGACAGTAGAATGCATTTATGCAATTTGATATATCATACATAGATGGGATATAATTCTTTATTTTTCTAAGTGTAACTACAAATCTTCTAGAAGAAAACATAGGAGAAATGTTCCATACTATTCGTGTGATTTTTCAGATATGAGATCAAAAGCACAACAATGAGAAAAAAAATTGACAATGGGATCCATCAAACTAAGAAGCTTCTGCACAGCAAAAGAAATGCTCACCAAGAGGAAAAAGGCAACTTGAGGAATGAAGAAAATATTTGGAAGCCACATAACTCCTACAGCACTAAGCCCCAAAGTACATAAGAGACTCATGCAACTCTCTAGCAAGGGAAAAGTTAAGAGAGTAAAAAGAAAATGTTTAAAAATCATATATCTGATAAGAGCTTAATATACAGAAATATAAAAAACTCCTATAACTCAAAAAATAATTATAATATCAACACAATTAAAATAGGCAAAGGATATGAATAGACACTTCTTCAAGGAATGTATGCAAATGATCAGCAAGTATATAATAATGTTCAACACTATTAGTTATTAGGGAAATCAAAATCAAAATTTAATGAGATATCATTTCACATCTGTATGGCTAAAATTTTTTAAAATGGAAACAAAATAACACATGTCAACTTAATTTTAGATGCWCAAAAATCCTTAATTTTTATGAAGTCTAATTTAACTACTTTTTCTTTGATTGTCTGTGCTTTTGGTATCATTTCCAAGACTTTCCCCAAATGTCCTCTTCTATGAGTTCTGTATTTTGGCTCTTAAGCTTAGGTCTTTGAGTTAGTTTTCATGGTAAGGATCCAATTGTATTATTTTTTTAATGTAACTATCCAGTTTTACCAGCACCATTTGTTGAAAAGACTCTTCTATCTCCCATTAAATGGTCTCACTATCCCTGTTGAAAACTGACCGATTATATATATATATATATAGGAATCTAGTTCTGAGCCGGCATGGTGGACACACACTTATCATCCCAGCAGCTTGGGAGGCTGAGGCAGGAGGATCAAGAGTTCAAAGTCAGCCTCAGCAACAGCAAGGCCCTAAGCAATTCAGTGAGACCATGTCTCCAATAAAATACAAAATAGGGCTGGAGATGTGGCTCAATGGTTGAGTGCCCCTGAGTTCAATTCCCCTTATCCTACCCCACAAAGAGTTTAGTTCTGGCTCTCTATTCCATGTCTTTGGTCCATATGTTAGTCTTTATGTCAGTACCATAGTGTTTTAATTACTGTAGACTCAAAGTAACTTTCAAAGTCAGGAAGTGTGAGACTCCAATTTCATTCTTTGTCAAGTTTATTTTGGCTATTCAGGAACCTTTGTAATTCCATATGAATTTGAGAATCAGCTTTTCCATTTCTGTGAAAAAGGCTATTGAAATTTTGATAGGGATCATGTTGCATCTGTTCATCACTTTGGATAGTATTGACATCTTAACAATTTTAATTCTCCTATCCATGAATATGGGTGATCTTTTCATTTTTATACCTTCTTTAATTTCCTTCAGCAATGTTTCTCAGTTTTGAGCATACAAGTCCTCCACAATATGACCTAGCAATTCTACTCCTTGGTGTATATCCACAAGAAGTGAAAACAGTGTCTCAAATGGATATCACATACCCATATTTATAGTAGCACTCAGTGGCAAATATAATGGCACACTATTCAGCTATAAAAGGGAATCACATTTTGACATGTACTATGACATGGATAGATTTTGAAAACATTAGCCTAAATGAAATAAGCCAGACATAAGACAAAAGTGTAATTCCACTGACATGAGTTACTGTGAACAGCAGACTCACAGAAACCGAAAGACAGGCAGAGGTTTCCAGAGGACCACAGCAGGAGACGGGGAACGCTGTTGTTTGTTCATTGGGTGGAGAATTTATACTGGGAATGATGAAAATAGTTTTAGAAATAGAGTGATTATGGTCACACCACATGGGGAAAGTATTTTATGTCACTGATGATAATATAAGGGTAAAATATCATATTGATGGAAAAATGATATTGTGTCTGTTTTATCACAATTAATAATGATAATAATAATRGGAGGGTACTCATTATTTGAACTTGTGGCTTCAGATCAATTATTCCAACTAGGTCATCACGTGGTGCTCTCTGGGGAGCCAATACAGAACGAAAGACTGGGCACAACCCAACACAAAAGTCAATGGGGCAGGGACAAAGTCTTGGCTTAGTGGCTTTGTGAGAGCCAGAGCTCGCAGCCAACTGAGTCACAAACACCAGAAACTTCTCGGAGGCACAACTGAGCTTCTTACTAGAAGAAGTGGTGGCCCAGATGCTGGGGCCAGGCCTCAAGCCAGCCTTCCCGGGCCTCCCTCCATGTGGCCACACCCGGGCGCCTGTGTGCAGTGACACTTGGGTCTGAGACTTAACGATTTAACCGGCCCTTGCTCCTCGCTCTTCCACTGGGGCAGGGATTCCGGGCCGCGGGTCCCTTTCCGGGACGACGGTGGATCCGGCCGGTGCAATCCGAGCGCGGGACTCGGGCGCCGGTGCCACCCCAGGGCGGGGAGCCTCCGGGGCTGCCCGGCTCCTACCCCGCGGTCCTGGCTGCAGCCTCCCCCCCGCCCGGCCTGGGCCCGGGACTCGCCGCTGAAGCCCCGCGTCGCACCGAACCTGCAGCAGGCTCTTCCCCGCGGCTGGTCAACTGCCCCCGCCCCGAGCCCTGGGAGCTCAGGAAATGCAGCCCGCAAATCGGCCGCTCGGGTACACTCCTCCCTGGGAGCCCAAGACCCCAGCAGAACAGCGACTGCAGGAGGGGCTGGCTCCGCCCGGCCCCCTTCCGCCTAAAGACCGAGCCTCCAAAAGGAGTTCACGAGCATCAGGGAGTTTCGTCCACCAGGGAAGATTAACTCCCCCCAGGTGAGACAAGAAGTCAACACACAGTCAGATGAGCTCTGTCACAAATTGTCATCCCTTTGGATAGTATTGTCACAAACTGTCTCCTCTCACCGGTATGAGATGGTCTCTTTCTTTCCTATTCGYCCCCACGCAGGTAATAAATGTGCACCCTTCATTGTTGAACCCAGAGGGGCTTTACCACTGAGCTACCCACCCCTTTTTATTTTTGACACAGGGCCTAGTAAATTGCCGAGGCTGGCCTCGAACTTGTGATCCTCTTACCTCATCCTCCCGAGTCACTGGGATTACAGGCGTGCCCCACCGCACCCAGCTAAATGTATGTCCCTTTTAAAGCTGGTGTTCACCTGCCAGCTGTCCGTTTATTTCATAGACTCAGTAATGCAACCCTCAGAGGGTGGAGGGGGTCTGCCCTCCCCTCCACCCTGCAAGGTACCCCCTCCACCCGCTGCTGCCCCCACACCCTCCCAGCACTTSCCCAGGAGCAACCTGATGTCCGGGGATCCTCGACCCAGCCTTCCGCCTGGCGACAGTTCTGATCAGCAGGAGCACGCAGAGCAGAATGAAAGTAAGAACGTCGTCATGGTCGAATTTTTTTATTATTGTTGTTCTAATGTTAGTAAGTGAAACCTTAGTTGAAATTTGCATTGTGCTATAGGGTTCTCTCCCCACAGAATTTCAGTACCCCTTTTCTTTCTCSGAATCGCCAGAAAGTGTACAGTACCCTCTGGTGGCAGGAACTTGTTATGGCACAGTCCCCTTTAGAAGTCAGGTTGAATAGGCCTTACCTGAAATATTTGGAACCATAAGTGTTTCCGTTCTGATTTAAGATTTTAGAATATTTGTGTGTGCATAATGAGATATCTTGGGGAAGGAACCCAAGCCTAAACATTAAATTCATTTATTTTCTATTCATTTATGTTCTTCACCTGGCCTGAAGTTAATTTTACACGGTATTTTTCAGTGTTTATTTTGATGGGACAGTGGCTTGAGGTAAGAGTGAAGCTTTAAATTTGAGGCCTCATTTCAACTTCTCAAAAGTCCCGAATTTTGGAGCGTTTGGGGTTTTGGATTTTCAGATTTGGGACACTCCACCTGTGTCTAGTAATACCTCCTCTTGTAATGCATCCTGCTGCCCATCCTGGGAAAACAGAATTCCTTTCTCCAACCTCTAACCAAACACTGCAAAATCAAGGTTATAAGTGCCATTATTTCCTCCTAAATAAGGGTGGAATAGCATCAGGAATGGGTGTATGCRATGAGCTCCATATTGGGCAGTCCTGTGCCCACACTTGGGTATATAGTCTAGACAGAGAGAGTTCAGACTCTGAGGAAGCCCATATTTTTAATGGGAAAATGAGCTTTCTATTTCCCTGGGTCTCTGAGACCTGCCTTACATCTAGGAATCCCCAAGGCCATGTATCCCTGCCCACTTGGATTCTCCCATGGACTGCAAYGCCCTGAAGTGAGCCTCCCCCACAGAGCACCTCAGCTTCCCCACCACAGGGCAGGGTCCAGGAGAGGCTGAAACCGCAGAGCAGTGAGGGGCACCTGGGGCCCCTTGGCCCACTTCCATGAGAGCCCACAGCTGCTGGCCCACAGCTCACCCAGYGGATTCTCACTGCGCCAGGGTTTTTTCCCAGGGCATCCCAGTGGTGGATTGACTAGAGGGAAAGCCTGAAGTTATGAGGTAAGTGGACAGTCATCTTCTAAATGGAGAAGTGGGTTTTTGAAAGTGAATGTTGTCAGGGGACAGAACGCGCCGCCCCCCCCCCCCTACAGCAGCCCAACAAATCAATGAAGAGTGTCTGACTTTGCCCTGGAGGCAACCGGTGCTGCGAAGGTTTTTCTATGAAATGTGCCTTTTGCATCAGATGCAAAGACTTTGTGCACTCAGGAGGGGTCCCACATACGGAACCAGGGGTGTCTTCTCAGACTGATGGCCATAACTAACAGGCCGTAGGGCTCTGGCCCCAGGAAATCATGTCTGACTAGAGCGTGGCCRGGTCCAGCCAAGTCTCTGAATCAAGCCCAGCAGTGCCTGGAGGTGCTCTGGTTTCTCCAGGACAGCGGCCTGCGTAAACAAGAGAACTTCATGCCACAATCCCCCAAAATTGAAATCCCAAGTAACCAAAAAAAAAAAAATCTTAGCATTTTTCTCCCCAGCATGAACACCAGGACTTTTACAAATTCCACATATTTTACTGGAAAAATGTTTACTGTGATCTTCTCAGAGTTTTTTATCAGTGCTACATTTGGCCTTTTTGAAGAATGTTAGCTATGGACCCCAATGTTCTACTWCCATCCCCTGTGAAACATCACAAGGTCTGTCTTCCCAACCTGTGTGTCCTGAGACCCTTTCTGCCCWGCTGCCCCAAAGCAATTCACGAAGGTGAATGAGTTGTATTCCTGCTATACTCTTCAAAAAATGCAGCTGGGGATGTACCTCACAGAGCACTTGCCTAGAGCATGTAAGACTCTAAGGTCGGTCCCTAGCACTGCCAAAAAAAAAGAAAAGAAGAAACAACCTTCAGGAAAATATCAAATGRATTTATTTCCATGTTTTTATTCAATTTATTAATGAGGAAACCAGGAAGATACTACAACTGGCTGGAAGGAGAAATTGAATAACTGATATTTGCATTGTCATTCAAGTCAAGGAAGGCTGAAGAGAATTTTCTAATATAAGCAAAACTGGCTAATCCCCTACTACACAATAAACCRTCTGAAGTCATTTTTACTTCCAGACAGTAATCAATGGCATCTGTCACACTAATCAATTTTTTCTATTTCAATTCACTTGCATTGTTAAAGTCAAGAATCATTTACAAAGTTTTCAAACAAGAATCTTTATATTATCATCAGTTTTCTGCAAGCTAACCTGTATCTCTTAGACTTAGAGAATATCCTGGGAGGGATGAGTCAATAAAATAGAAAGCATGCACTGAAGGAATACCTGGTAAGATTATTAGGTATTCTCTCAATTTTTCTGACAATGTATATAAAATAAAATGTATAAATTTGATATGTTAAGAAACTAGGAGCCAGGTGCAGTGGTACACACCTGTAAYYCCAGCAACTTGGGAGGGTGGGGAAGGAGAATTGCAAGTTCAAGGCCAGCCTCAGCAATTTAGCAAGACCCTAAAAGCAGCTTAGTGAGACACTGTCTCAAAATAAAAAATAAGAAAAGGCTGAGAACTCAGCTTAGTGGCAAAGTGCCCTGGGTGCGACCCCTAGTACCAAAAAAGAAAAACACCAGGGCAGGATGGTCTCCATTCTTCTCCTTTCTGGAATTGTGATTGATGTCAGTGCCAAACCCGTTTATCAATTCCGAGCCCACAGCTTGTTTTCCCCATAACACAGGTGCTTGCTCAGGTGTGTTTATGCTAGTGATGGGGCCACCTGAAGTCCCGGTTAGCCAAGCTAACATCCTAGAGAGTACAACATAATTGTAGCACAGAAAAGTGCCTGGGTTGGCCCTTCTACAGACACACCAGCATGACCCTCAAGCAAACTTTTTCTATATGATATTAGATAGTAAATAGTTTAGACGTTGTAGGCCATAAAGTCTCTGTGGCAACAACTTGACTCTGCCATTGTAGCATAAAGCAACCTTAGCACCTAAGCCAATGGGTGTGACTGCGTCCCAATAAAACTTTATTTACAAAACAGGCAGTGGCTGGATGGGCTGGATGCAGCCCATGGGCCACGGTTTGTCAAACCCTGATTAGAGAATACAGAAGTCATTGATTCACTCAACAAATATTAGCTGCTTTCCAAAGACAGCCATCTCCAGACAGACTTGTCCTTGCCCTCATCAAGTYGCTGATGAGGCAAAGAAGGCAGTTTAAACAAGAAATTTTGGCAAAGTATATTGGCAGAGATGGCAGGGTAAACAACCCTAGTTCAATGGGGGAAAAAATGACAGTCAAGTTAGAACATAAATATTTATTACAGTGCTGAGCTTGAGGTCTCTACAACATAGCTAAGCAGAAATGTAATTTAGATAAGCATTATTAAGTYCAGAGCTCAGAAAGCCAGTCTGGGYTGCACTCAGATTTGGTGAGTAGGCTGAAGCCTTCGGAGTAGGCAGCATTGCACAGGAGAGTGGGCGTGGCAAGAAGGGCAGCCGGAGTGTCCACACCAGGCCTCTCAAGCCTGAGAGTGCCCCTCAGCCACCTGGAGGGCTTCTGAAAACACACTGCTGGGCCCAGGGGTGGGGCCAAAGAATCTGTGTTTCCATCAAACTCCCAAAAAAGAAACATCTAGAATTACAGTCARGTTTGGGGGAAAGGACTTTTATTTACAAGAAAGATATTGCTGTACCCAACAAAAAAATTGGAAAAATTTTTAAAAAGTACAAAGTGCTGACACTTTGGTCATGGAATCAAGAAATAAGCCCAGACAAAAGAAAGACAAAAGAAAAAAAAATCCCAGACAAAAGAAAAAAAAAGCCCAGACAAAAGAAAAAAAAAATCATGTCATCATCATCATCATCACTGCTTATAGATCCAAAGTCCATTTCACTAATGTTAGATTTCATGGACTATCTAACACAGAGAAATAATACCTTTCATGAGGCAGGAGAGCTCTTGGACTTCTGTAAAACATTTCTTAAAAATGTTTAAAAGTTCTTAAAAATGCTTAAAAAGCAAMCTCAATGGATGTTGATAGATGAAAAGAAGTTGCTATGGCAAAAAGGATACTAAAGTGGAAATCCTCCATCCTTGGGGCAGCTCTAGCCCTTGACTTAAGTTGAATGTGACTTTTGTCACTATTGCTGCAGCCAAGAAAATTATTAGGTTACAACAGGCCCTAGAAGAGACAAATCCCAAAATATTAGTGAAAAGTTAGAAGAAAAGGTTTKGGAGTCAGGCAGCCATGGGTTTCATTTTTAGACCTGTTATTTACTTCAAGTGACCTGGGGTATATTACTTTATGAGTTTATTTCCTCAYGTGAGAATKATAATAGGTTCTGAGATATAGGTTTAAAATTTTTCCAAAATAAGAAGGACAGAATGCCTGTAGTGAGTGCCCAATAGTTTATAAGTTTTTTGTCATCATTTCTATTTTCATTGTTATTTGAAGAAGTGAGCAGTTGGAGTGCTTAATTAGTTCATAAAGTTGTCAAGGGACTTTAATATCTTACTCTAGAGTAAAGTGATAAAACATAAAACTTAMCCTTACAGAAGAAGCTTAAAAGAATGACCCAGGAAGTTTAATGGCTTTTAYAGTTTTGTGTAATGAGTCATCACAAGAAAGGAGCACACTTCCAAATCCCTTTCCACCACAGTCCGAGTAAACAACAGGACGRGAAAATGCAAAGGCAGCTAGCAGAGAATACTAAAGAGAAGCAGAGAACCATGCAAACAGAAAAAAAAAAATCATTTCCATATTTATAAATAACTGGCAACAGGTCTTTTTGCAGAAAGTACTGGAGCAGAACCTTCTCCACCACAGTTGAAAAGGATTTTGAATTAACATGGAATGGCTGCAGGTACGGGGTCCTAGYCATCTTTCATCACTATAATGAAATTCCTGACACAGGCTAATTACAAAATAAAGGAGA